CGGATGTTAGTTTCGCTCGTCTCGTAGGTGCAGAGACAGACATACTGAGATTCTGTGGGATGAGACCTCGAAGTGCGTTTCGGAAGTTTCTAATGCAGAGGATGGACACGTTCGGTTGGAATAGATTTTCGAAGCGTTACAATTTCCGTTACGCTCTATCATCTACCAAGGGGTTTATTACATTAAGATGATACGGTTGACCTGCTCTGTGAACAGATTTCAGTACCTACAGAAATTTTTGTATGACTATCTTACGAAGGTAGATGAAGTACACTGGCGAAGCGTATGTAATTGAACGAAGTAAGCCGTTTCTTGGAATTAGTTACTTGATTCCATTTGGAGTTTGTTTTGTGACTTTTCAGAAAATATAGTTACATCGTCGTACTTTGATGACTATGGTTTCTACGTGTGCCGTGAAGCCTTGAAGCATAAGCTTTCTCTATAGCGTGATTAAAAACAGTTCGTTTTGAGAATCATGTGTTCCTGAAGGTAGATATAGTGCTATCAGAAATGTCACATAAATGGAATGCATTATAAGTGTGCAAAGTCAATAAATTAAACGCTATTTTGATGAAGGCCACAACTAGTATTTTTCATGATCGCTACTAGCCAGAGGCTAGAGTAAACGATGCAACGAGCACAATGGTGGTAATGATGCGCCTTGAAAAACTGCTTTCAGCTGAGCGCCGTTGCTGGACGCTCAATGCACCATGCTCACGGCTCAATCTATGACTCGAGCGATGCATAGCAAAACAGTTTTTTTGTATTTATGAATTTTAATGCTCAAATTTTACAGTCGTAACCGTTGTGATGACAGTGGAAACGGTGATGCGTCGTCCGTCAATCTGCTTGTGATGTATTTGCCTTTAGCGAAGGACGATTGTAGATGAATATTTTAATAAATTACGTTTTTTATTCGATTTTTTTTAACAATTGTGTCTGTAGGGAGGAAGTGAATCATTCAACGAAGATTCAAGAAAAGGATCGCAACGCGTCTCGATGCTTGGAAGGAGGACATTTGATGCATGTACTTGATACGATGTCCCCGCGATCGTCGTCAACGAGGGTAGACGACGGCTCGACATCTGAATCATCGGAATTGCGACACGTCAGCGATGGTCAACAGGCTTTAAGCGACACTTCAATAGTCGACGATACCGACGGCAAAACAGTGAAGGTACTTCTTGAAGAAATCGACGCAATCGTCGCTTTAAGGGATTAATTTTTTCCTATAAGAGTCCTGTTGTTCTTAAAATTAAAATTAAGATTTTTACTGTTTGAACGGTACCACCGATGAATACAGATAAATAAACAGAATATATAGATCACATAGGAAAATGAAGGATATATAATTAAAAGAAAGAAAAAACGGTTAATTTGCAGTGCAGTAATTTAAACAATAAGCAATAAACCAGCAGAACGACATGACAAAACTCTGGCAACATAATTTTATTGTTGTTCTTACGCTAATGGAGCTTAAACAGCAGATTAACCCACATTTATGATACTTGACTGTTTGAAACTCCAAAGAGTTACTGGTTCCGTAAAACTCGCAGATCTGAGGTTTTTCTCAGCTAGAATGTCTCGCTGCGAATTCGTATGGCGAAGGTTAGTCGTTGAATTCAACTTTCTGCTCGTTCTTTGCCAAAACCCTATTCTTAGGAATTTTTTCATCCATATGTCGGTTGTTGTCTGATAATTCTGCTGATAGCCCAAAATGTTTGATATGGAATGTACAGTGGGAGTCGATCAGTTTTCAGTCTACAAACGAGTTCTGTCCTACTCGATCACTCGTTGGTATACAATCATTTACAACTTTGGAGCTGCTGTCAAGGTGTCCCTGCACATCGTTTGTGGACGTCGCGTAAAACTCGCATTTTCAAGTTTTATTCATGGGAGGAACAAAATATAAATTTATTTTTCATAACAGTTTTTTAATGTACTTCCTTTTGCAGTTTGTCGGTCATTTTTGACGACCGTTGATCCTTTCGCGTCACGGAGGTAGACGTGTCAGACACTGATGACCCTGACGTTTCCGATCATAGTCAGCGTTTGAGGTTCGACAAAAAATAACCTGAGTTTCATCTAGAGTGCTTTTTGACATTTGCTCCAAGTTACTCTTGACCGTCCTTGGGAACTTCGGCCAGTTGATTGATTGGGTAGTATCAGTAACTGTTTCACCTTCCTTTATGAAAACGTTAGAAAGACGTGGCCAAACCGTCATAGCAAATATTTGAGAAGCAGCGGCTGTACACCAAAATTCTTTTATGTCTGAAATTCGCACCATGTCGAGCCTCGTGGATCCAGGGATTCCTCTCAGTTAGTCCATTTCAGCCATATGTACCCGGGGTCGAAGGTTTTCAGTCGTAGGTCAGCACTCATCAGCATCGAAGTAAAGATCGAATTGAACATGGAAACCGTTGTCCCGAATCAGCTCTCCTTTAATCGCGAGTTCAGACGAGTTCATGCAGAACGCCTCTGGTCTTCCCAATTTACTGATCGATTTCCTTTTCCTATTTTCTACCTCCGGTAAAACACTCAGAGGTACGTGAATTTCTGAATATCTTCACCTGATCCATTGGTTGTCTATTTAACCCTTTACGTAACCCTCATCATTTGGGGAGCCAGTGGTGTAATCGGTTAGTAGATTGCTTTTCGCACTGTAGAGGTGCTGGAATCAAACCTCACCCATGGCATAAATGTTCTCTGCTATAAATACCTCATTTCCTTTAGCACGGAATTCGTTCTCACCTCTGTGCCTCGGTTCGACCAGCCGAAAAATGCTTAGCAGCTGGTTGACCTTGGAGTAATGGCGAAAGAATGCTGTTTTGGTGTGATCATATCCAAGCGTACCAGACCTAAGGTAATATTGTCTCATGCGTGCGCCTCACGGCTATAATTCGCCTTGATTTACCTGATAGCTGAGTAAAAAATCAGCAAAACGTGTGACGGTAAATTTAAAAACAAAACTCATAATTGATCGTCGTTATCTTTATCGTTATCGTTATCATTCGCATCTTTATCATCACCTGCATCTGGATTCATTGTTGATTAAAGACTTCACTATGGTTTCTCTGCTGATTCAGACGCTCTGTCTTCATGCTTCTAGATCTGGTCAGCAAATTTAGTGCTTTCATCCTATTAGCACTCTTTTGGTTTTCTTGTTTTGCCGTTTTGTAGCATTCTAGAGTTATACTTCTGGTAGATATTCTCCAAGGATATCCTGTTGCTTGATCACTTGTTTGTTCTTTTCTTGCCAGACAACGGAGAAGCTTTCGCCCTCGATAAGAATCTCTCCCCTGCCGGTAGCTGCGCAGGGACCAGATTAGAATTGAACTCGTAAAGTGGAAGAAGCTGAACTTGATATTTTAGTTTGCATTCACAATCTTATTTTTTAGGGTATTTGTAGTTTATAAAATTTAAGTGTTCAGTAGTTCATTGAAGTAAATTCGTTACTGATATTTTTAGTACTAGTCTATATCACATGGGAAAGCTCATTTTGGTTTGAGAACTTTTTCTAAACTTTTCTCTTGGCCGTTACCAACGTAACTCAGTCATTAGGGCTCCAAACTTGTGGTTAAAATGTTCTGAGGCTGGTTTAGATTCAAGCTTGACCGCCTACCTTTCGTCTTTAATGTCTGATGGGAATGAAACCTTTTGCTTTCACAAATCTGTTCGACTTATCACCCGTTCCCCGCACTCATCAAGCTTTCTGATCTATGTTCTCATCAAATGGTGCATACTTCGCTGCATTTCATCCATTCATACGGTCTCATATTTGCACAAGAATCACGCAACTTTGTCGCTAGATTACTGGACAGTTCGCAGTCGCAGAATCGCCCCGGTTCGAGTTCTGATCATGTAATAGCCGGATGGCTTTAGATGTTGCTTTCAGAAATACACACGCACTCGGGATCGATTGTATTCATGAGAACTCCCGCTTTTTCAGCCACTGAAGTATTTCGACCAAGACAGATTCGAACATGTACTTGTCTTAACCGCTTTCGTCAAATATTGGAAGGGGCAATGACGCACTCTGTAGTTTGGCTTTTGCTCGAATCCCACGGCTAATCCCATGGAATGAGAAATTCGGCCCACGGTACAACCAGTTGAAAGACGGCTAGTAAATCGGTTACCTGCGAGCAATAGCGAGAGCACCTGATTCTTGGTAGATCATGCCCGAATGTACGACACCTATATCCATGCCGATGTAAGTAGTGATATAAGCTTGTTTTGCGGTGGCTGAGCCTCTCATCGTCAGCCGCTTAAAATGTGTCTGATGTGAGTTATGAAAAAGTCGAATAAATGCCGCAGCCGTTTTTTGACTTTTCCAGTTTGGTTGTCAAGTGATAGTAATAAACCAGTTTTGAGTCAAATGAAACTTGGACAAAAGTTTGCTGCTGTAACGTGACCGACTATATATATATGACGGCCATCCTTGCCGGTGTCAAGTGTCTGAAAAACGTGTGAAAGTGATGACCCCTTGATCACGTCGCAGTATATTAAAATCTCCTTCAGATCTTCATCGCTCATCGATCATTTTGTACTATCTCAAGTTTTATCCAAGAACAGGTTCATTTAATAAATTTCGAGTCACTGCTAGGGCATTTGCTGCAGGCTTTCTCAGTCATTACAGTGTCGAAACCCAGCGATGAGAAATCCTGGGTTCGATCCCCGATCGAGTCATTCGCTTTTCTTCGTTCCGAGATTCATAAATGAGTGCCACTCTACGGGAACAAGACAAAAGACTATTCACTATGCTTGAGACAGAGCTATCGACTCTGCCTTTAAAATAGTCTACTTTTGGCTGAATCATGAAAATAGTGATTAACGCCCTATCATCAACTTCATGAAACGGAGGGATGACGACATTAACGGTTGCACACTTTCCTTTTCTTCCATTAGTAGCAGGAGCAATATTGACAACGATGAAGTCATTCTTCGTTCGCGAAGGGCTGACGAAATAATGTTCATGATTTGCCAAGGCTGCTATGCTGAAGTTCTCAGGTTTCGTGCTAACATGAAAAATATGTTCTTTGCGTTCCTTGATATCTTGCATCAATTACCCTGCTGTTTCCTCCTACTTTCTGTCCAACAGTCACTCCGTTTGTTCAGACGGTAAATGATTCGGTTAAGACATTTTGCACTCTGTACTGTTCAGAGATCAGTTTTAGGCGAAAAGTCTGAATTCATTAATGACGTTATCCGAAAACTTGTCTGAGGATACCACGTAAAAACTTTGTGGGCAGCGTCATCGTTAAATTCTTTACACTGTGTCATAAAAATGCTAATAGTGTTTTTTATGTTGAAAATAATACTATTCAGCGCTAATGGAGACTGTAGAGTTGCAATTGGTCGGTTAGTGAGGTGCTCATTCATTTTTTCAGACATTCATTCAGTCAGCAAGTTAGTCAGAAAGTTAATTGGCCAACCAGGCAGTCATGCGGTTAGTCATCCGCTCAGTCAGTCATTCGGTCAGTCAGCCTGTCAGTCCGTCAGCGATTTACTTATCAAGCCTATTCATTCATTCAGTTACTTGATTTTTCTTACAATCAGTGAAGTAGTTTTTTGAAACGCTATGTAGCTGAGGACTTTTGTCCTTCTATCGATCTTGGTGAACTAATCTGACCTGGAATAACACTACAATGTAGTAAAAACGTCATCTCTTTTATCGACATAGTATACTTTCTGGCATTGCCATCAACGCATGCTTCCCACGCAAGACTGAGTTGGGGGGGGGTAGCGCAGGAAATCTAGCAAAGTTGCAAGAGTTTAGCATCTGGGCGAACAGTGCTCGAACTTTCCGCTAAAATCGTTCACAGATGTGTCTGTCTTTTAGCAGTTTGATAAATGGCAGGTTTTTCATTTGAGAACAAAACGAAAAACGAAGCATATGCTCGTTTAGATCGTCCAGACGACGCGGTTTCAGTAGGTTTCCGCCATTGAATTTGACATCGAGACTCACTTAGAATAAAAAGTGTAGTTTCTGTACGTTTTCATTATGTTAATCGCATTTCTCCGTTGCATTTACGTTGCACGTATAGGAGATTCTTGACACCAGGCTACTGCTCCATGATTGTCTTTTTTCAGACCATCGCCTTGAGCCTTTTGCATAAATAGAACGTCTCTTGTGTGATGACCGCTTGCTTTTCAACTTTTTTAACAGCTTTCTAACGCTTTTGCTGTGAAGCAGCGGATACTGCATTGTGCAAGAAAATCACTCTCTTTCAAAGCATCATCTTGCTGGTCCATGTATCACTATCGCGTGCTGACCAACCACTCCTTTATTCTACTGCATATAGGCCGTCGGTGCATTGATTCAAAACCATACCACTCTGCTGCGATCAACAAAAGCATTTTTCAACACCATCTTGTGTATTTTGATCCGTAGCCATATACACTGTGCACAGTGCCAATGATATGTTGACGTTTGTTTTGAAACCTGTCGAATCTTCTAACTTTTGTTCATAAACCAGAACAGGGTGGGTGTTGTTTGTTGACGTTTAGTTTTAATGCGTTGAACTGTGAGTGAATTATTCGCAAGCGATCTCGTTAAACTTTCCTAGTGTTCCACACGAGTTAATCAACGTCATGCTAGTTATTGCTGTTCGGTCGCCAGTTGGTGCTGTTGCCGAAATCGCCTCGATCGGCTGGCCGGCCAACTGGCCACCTGCTGTTTTCATCCGCAGCTGTTTCGTTTCAACTCACAGTGTGTGTTAACTTCCTCTGCGTCCTCACCACCGACCGTTTTGATTATCTCTGTTATCACTTGCCTTGCATAATCCGATGCCGTGAAAGGTAATGGTTCAGATATTGCGTATTGATTTCTTTTAAAAAATTCTTCTTAATTAATGGTCAGTTTTTGCACTTTCTTGCTGTTTGCTTTTGATTTTGCCTATCCATATGATTCTGAATTTGAATATAGCAATAATGACTTTTTTATCCAACACCGCAGCTAGTAGCCTTCCGTACGATTGGTACTGATTTAGGAAAAACTTCATTTATGAAATGTGGGCTTCTCTGTCAATAGTCTGAATTGTTTAGTATTTTTAAAACAATGCCATTTTGTTGTGATGGTTCTTCGTAAAGTCGACTTGCCCAAATTTCATACGGTTTCGAAACTTGTCGGCAGAGCAGATCAGCTGTCTTGTTTGAATATCCCAGATATCCTGGTAAATCGGATTACATCGGACTGATCTGTTGTAGAGCTAGATAAATCAGTTCTAGCGATCTTCTTCATCACCTGTAACAGGTTTTTTCAGTCTGTAGATTGGGTCTCATTCTACAATGTTTTAATTTGTATTCGTCTATACGAGGATTGAAGTCATCATCATCATCATCTTCCATCGCCGCTTCTCCTTTCGGGTCGCGGAGACAGATTCGTCAGACAGACCTTCCAACATTCCCGATCCTGTGCCAGAGTCTGAGCTTCGGCAAAAGACAAATGCAGTCTGGAACGGATCCTTCCATATGTTTGCACCAGGTTAATCTTGGCCGTCCCCTGGGCCTTTTGCCGGTCGGATTTGTAAG